AATTATATGGAGAAGAATATAATGAGACTAATTTTGCAATGTCTCGAGTTTGGACAAATTATAACAGCACACCTTCAAAAATCAAAATACTTCTATTATTTTAGTGCAGTATCACAAGAATTTCCCAGTTCAGATGACCAATGCCATTGAGTCTATTGTAATCCAATAACTGGATAAGTTTTAAACAAGTCAAAGCTTACTGGTAACTGTATTACCCGGCCATAACCCAAACACTAATATTCTGAAATATTTATCTTTAATGTTAGACTCAGAGCAGCATGATATTAAGAGCATATCAACAACTCCAAAGATGTGAGAACTATGTAAAATGCTAAACACATATATACACAATGAAGTAAGTTTTTCTACTTACTTCATGATGTATTTGCATTCATCCAATCAAACATCATGTTCTGCCTCTCTGTGTTGCCTTGTAATTGACTTATGACCTGCCCAAGTGGTACCCCGCCTCTCGCTTAATAACGGCTGGAAATATGGACCAGCCACCTAATGATTTTATTGCTAAACAACAAACCATGGAAATTTTGATTTTTGTTGAACATTTCAATACTGCTATTCAATTCAGAATGATAAAAGAGAGCATTTTAAATCTCTACTACTTTGTTACACAAATTTGCAATATCAGTTTTGTTTTGTTCCGGTTTACTCTGCAGGGGTCAAGACTGAAAAAAAAAACCTTCAGCATATTACTGTGAAGAGAGCAAGAGTTTTATTCATGTCATTTTCTGTTCCTTTTTTTATAGATTTCTACAGCTGTGTGTCTTCTTCAGTGGAAAGGAAAAGGGGAATTTTAGCACCGCAAGCAATAACAATGGTCAAATGCTTCAGGGTATGAGGTGTGGGTCTAGCTTACTTTTTCCATCTGTCTGCAGTGGCACACTGACACAGGATATCACTCCAACAAGTCCTAAAATGAGTATCTCTTCTATCTTCGTGTGTCCCATCAATTTCTAAGAACGAACACCTGCAGGTCCTCCTTACCTCCCAGGGTAGCAGAAACCAGGAAGTGGGTGCCGTACTTCTTGATGAGGTTTTCGTTGATTTGCTGCAGGGTTGGCCGCCTCCCCAGTAAACGCAGGTTGCGTAGGAACTCTGGTGCTAAGGGCAACGGAGCTTTGAGGAAATCTCTCTTCTCTGTTGCCAAGCTGTTCACCTTCCAGTGGCTGAACTCCCTGCAGGTATGGACAGATTCACAAGTGAATACACACTGTGCCATTGTTCCTTCTTTCAGGGACAGTCGGAAATTAGGCCACAACCCAGGACCTGCTTACACAATGACTCTCTTGCAGAATTTAATTGAAGGCAGTGGTCAGTTTTAAATTTGCATTCAGCAAGTAAGATGAAAGAATATCTTTTGGTGTCTATAGTTCAAATCTAGTGTCAACATGTGATTTATCAATCTAATTTTCTTCTAAGTTACTCTTCAAAAAGATGCTAATCTGACCAGAAGTTAGCAAGTCTGTCACCTGTTGTCCACTGGAGATTTTCATCAACCCCAAAGCAAATGGGAATTAAATAAAGGAGGTTTAGAAAAGGCATAGTTTATTCTGCTACTCAATGAATGCGTAAGCATTGTTTTGATTTTATTTACTAAGTCCAAAGTTTTCCTTAATGCATTCTGCCAATTCTAATTTCCTCTCTGACCATTGGCGAGTAAATTGTAGATGGAAAAACAGCAGAGATTCTGACATGAAATGATGCGAGTGAAGACTTTTATAGAGTACATGCTTGAAATCATTCAGAGTTTTGCTAAAGAGAAACACCAACCTTGGTGTGGTGTAAGGGTGGATTCAATCAAAACTTTAATTGTAGTGAAGACATTCCCATTCAAATTTTTTGTTTTTGTTTGTTTTCTGTCAGAGATATGTGAATAACAGCAACATTAAGGTGTTTATAACTACATTTAATGTTAGCAAAGGGAACAAAAGAGAAGCACTGCGTGGTAATGGTCTGGAAATGCAAATGCTATGACTGTTATGGTAACACATACATGATCAGCTGATTTACATTATTTGAAGGACTTTTATGGACTAATTCAGTTTCAGCCTGTGTATTGAATTGATAAGTCCTTTTTTAAGCAGTGGCGGAGCCACAGGGGTGGCCGGGGTGGCACTTGCCACCCCCAACAGACGCCTGGCCACCCCTAGTGCCACCCCACTGGAAATGGTAATTTTAAAACATAATACTTATGAGATCGGCAAAGATTTGCCAGAAAAACTCTAATTTCCGACTGTCCCTGAAAGCAGCCCGATGCCCGACGCTGTTGATTGGTTACTGACATGTGGTTCCTGCTTGTTCAAAAACACATCAAGGCCTTTAGAGTCCACCGTAGAGGAGTTTTGCAGGTATTTACAACATTTTACCGCTCAGCGGTAACCACTGTTACCTTCCTAATGAGAGGTGGCACTTGTCATACATTTCTAAAAAGAAAAAAAAAATGGTTGTGCACCGCTGCGTAGTGCCTCGTTTATTATATTAGCCATGCTAGTGCTGATAGATCGTGTTTTAGACAGATTCTTATGTTTTAGTGACACGCTGCCCTGTAATGTTTTATATCTCCCAGCTCTTGCTTGAAATGTGTGTTTTAAGAATATGTGAAAAACCATTAAGTTTTATAATGACTGAAATGTAAGTAGGCTATGTCATATGAAAGCTTTGAATTATAACCTAACTAGTTATATTAATTAATTTTAATTGGGGCCTGCCTAGCAATGCATGGAGGCAGTTACTGACTTGCAAAGTAAGTCAATAACTGCCTCCATGCATTGCATGGCAGGCACCTATTAATCTACACCCAATAGAATGTCTCTTTATTTATTTTTCTTCCGTCAACCGGAATGCGGCTCGTACCGCTGCGAGCACACCCACAAAAGTGGTATCAAATCGTGCGGCTCGGCGCCGGGAGGGGTGCTATTACTTTTGGTGGGATTCGGAGTTACGATAAAAAAGTAAAAAGCGAAAAACCATCAAAAATTCTTGTCAGTTAGAAACTGCCCAAACTAGAGTGTAACCAACGTTTCGTTAGAGTGTGGGAAGCACTGCGATTCTGACCCCAAATAAATTTTGAAATCGCCGTCACGACCACAAATATCGCCCTATCGGTATCAAACTCGGTCATGACATAGATACACATGCCTGCTCCGGTAAAATGTTTTCAAAATTTTTCTAGGGCTTATGGTTTTCTGTCTAGGGGCTTCAGAGCGAAGTGATGCGACAGGATTTTGACTCGCTCAGCCAGGTTCCCTTCCATGTATTTCTGAAAAATGTCAGACCTCAGCGCACACCATTTTTATCTCGTCGCTATTATTACTGTGAGTGATGTACAGATATGAATAGCGGGACTATCGGAGATGAAAGATAGCCCTCTCATACGCTTCAAACGGTTTTCCGATATGTATCACGGTTTCCGAACGGGAAGCAGTTGTTTGGACTGCTTTTTTCAGTCAAAGCTGACTGGGTGTCTCACAAAGATAGAATTCTTTCTGTCTCACACACATGACAGTTGCAGAGGATTAATTACCATAGCAACGAAGCACAGCAGGGCCGAGCAGCTGATTAGAACTACAAAAACGCATCACTGTAGTTTTTACTATGGCAGAGCTCTGAGGAAGGAGCTGGCCTTTAGAACTGCTTGTGTTTTGGGCATTTTATAACTGATTTTAACCAACCTTTGCTACACATGGGATTAGTGTTAATTAAGTTTAATTAATCTTAATGAAATTAAGCTTAATGAAATTTCAAAATAAAAGCCTTGACAATTTTTATATCAATTGCTGTTTGGAGCATTTTAGAACTGATTTAACACAATCACTGTTACTCATGTGAATAGATTGGACATTTAAACGAGGCTTACTGAAAATTTCAAAATAAAAGCCTTAATATCCTTTCTGGCTCATGCCTATTTTAGTGAAAATGGCTGCCTCAAACTGATAGAATTCTGTCTCCCCCTGTCTGACTCACAGCCTGCAGAGGATCCATTACCATAGCAACGGAGCACAGCAGGGCCAGTGGTTAGGACTACAAAAACGCATCACTGTAGTTTTTATTATGGCAGAGCTGTGAGGAAGCTGTTGGCCTTTAGAACTACTTGTGTTTTGGGCATTTTATAACTGATTTTATCCAACCACTGTTACACACAGGATTAGTGTGGTAATTTTAAATTAAGTTGAATTAAAATTTCAAAAAAAAAGCCCTGACATTCTATTATATTATGGAATTGCTCTCTTGGGGATTATGTGACTTTTTTTTAACAAAACCACTGTTACACTTTGGATTATTTTGGACAGTTAAAATGAAGCTTACTGAAAATTTCAAAATAAAAGCCTTAAGACTCCTTTCTGGATCATGCCTATTTTAGTGAAAATGGCTGCCACAAACTGATAGAATTCTGTCTCCCCCTGTCTGACTCACAGCCTGCAGAGGATCCATTACCATAGCAACGGAACACAGCAGGGCCAGATGATTAGGACTGCAAAAACGCGTCACTGTAGTTCTAACTATTGCAGAACTCGGAGGAAAAAGCTAGACTTTAGAACTGCTTGTGTTTTGGGCCTTCTATAACTCTTTTTAACCAACCATTGTTACACATGGAATTAGTGTGGAAATTTTAAATTAAGTTTAAATTTTTTTCTCTGAGGCTAGAGCTCTGCCTTGCACAGCAAAGCAGAGCATTAGCATTAGCCTTTTACCTTAAATGAGGTATTAGCTGTTTCCCTTACTTACTACCCATGTTCAATAATTCATGCTTGTGACTATCCACGTGCTATTGATGACATTGCAGCTTTCTTTAGCATGGATGCTAATGTTTAGCATCAGAACGCTAGGTCCAAACCGACGGGCACACTTTGGCAGGCCCCGGTTAAATTTCTTCAGGAATTTTCTAGTTTATATGTTGATTTTAAGTGTTTCTCTTTACTATTCTTGTATATATATGATGGTGTTTCTCACATCACGTTTTCTGCTCTTCTTCTATCCAGGCGTCTCTGCCTGATCATGTGACTGGAGGCTCTTCAGACCCAGGATGGTTTTCAGGTCCAGAGATAAAGAGATGAGCTCATGTTAGTGGACTTCCTGACCAGAGTTCACTCATCTCAAACACACACAATGTCTTTACATATCAACTACATAACTTTACACAAACCTCATGTATGTATGGACCCACAGTGTCACTGAAACAACCTGAAATTGACAAAAGGGATAAATGAAGATTTACTAAAAATTAACCAATAAAAAAATTATTTTGAATTGAGGTTCAACAGAATAAGAAAATGACAGAGCAAGATGACTACAATTACACAGATTATTCTTAAACTTAAGGTCCAATCCTCCCTGGCTGGAGGAAAATTAATGACAAATTCAAGAGAACTGTGATATGAATTGTTACTAAAAGTCCAGAACAACCAAGTCCAGGAAGTAAAGGGAAACTACAAGGTCAAGGTCATGTGAGGTGACCAAGGAAGAAAGCAAATCATTAAAAAGTGAGGCGTCTCATCTGACCTTCAGACAGATGAGACAAAATGTCCATCAGCTCTATGGTCACAGACACAAAAACACTAATAAGTTTTAACTACCATCATTTTAATTGAGCCACAATGAAAATCAGTTTGTCAGGAAACAATTGTTTACTATTTTTGTCAGTTTCAAGCTCCTTACCACTGTGGGCTTTTCGTTCATTAACAGAAGGTACCAGTTTTTTATGTATGCTCACTTACAAACTATGTACACAATTTGCCCCCATATTTACAGTTTTAGTTTTCTATGACTTTTATTATTATTATTAATAGTATTATTACTACTTTGTAGAGAGACACGCTCCTGCTTTTATATTTGCCTTTAATGTTTGAATGTTAATAAATATGTTAACAGTAACTGTCCCAGTTTCTCCATTTTATTTTGGTAAATTTGCTTTTACTTTATCACCGAGCGAGAAATGTCCCCACATTTATTCTTGGAAATATGGTCATTTTATGTTAATGCGGCTCGCACCGCTGCGTATCCCCCCCACAAAAATGGTATCAAAACGTTCAGCTTGATTCGGAGAAGGGAGATATTACATTTATTGGGATTTGGAGTTACAATTTCCAACTGCCGAAACGCAGAGTACAAACGCCACCAACTGCCACTCCATTAGAGCTACAAATGAAGTTGATTTTTGACCCTAAATAAATTTTTAAATCGCTGTCACGCCCACAAGTATCGCCCTATCGGTATCAAACTTTCATGACATTGATAGGCATGCCTGCTCTGGTAAAATGCTTTCGAAATTTCCCCTAAGGCTCCTAGTGCCAGCGACCCCAAAATCTCTCCCTCTGCCGCCAGCGTCCCTAAAGGCGCGTGGTGCCAGCGGCCCTCAAAATCTCTCCCTCTGCCGCCAGCGTTCCCTAAGGGACCTGGTGCCAGCGGCCCCCAAAATGTCTCCCTCTACTGCCTCCAGCGTCCCCCAAGGCTCCTAGTGCCAGCGGCCCCCAAAGCTCTCCCTCTGCCGCCAGCGTTCCCTATGGGACCTGGTGCCAGCGACCCCCAAAGCTCTCCCTCTGCCGCCAGCGTCCCTAAAGGCGCGTGGTGCCAGCGGCCCCCAAAGCTCTCCCTCTGCCGCCAGCGTTCCCTATGGGACCTGGTGCCAGCGACCCCCAAAATGTCTCCCTCTACTGCCACTATACCCCAAGGCTCCTAGTGCCAGCGACCCCAAAATCTCTCCCTCTGCCGCCAGCGTTCCCTAAGGTTCCTAGTGCCAGCGACCCCCAAAATGTGTCCCCCTGCTGCCGCTATACCCCAAATAGCCCATCCAGAAATTAAAATATCCATGCGGGTACCCAGTACCGCAATGTTCCCGAATTATATAAATTTATAAATGCAGTTCCAATTCTTCTGAGGACTGTTGGCCTCTCTTCCGGATTTTCTTCATTAACATCTTCTTGGTTTTGAAGTGGAGTCTCTTTTGGTGGGCTCGCTTCCGACTTTGCCTTTGCATTAATCATTTCAAGTTCTTCCCTCAAAGAAACTATTTGTTGTTGGAGCCCAAGATTTTCTTCTTTGAGGGACTCCGCTTCTCTGGACTTCTCTTCGTAAGCGTCCTTGGCGTTCTCCCTTGTTGTCCTATGTGTCCGATCGAGGACCACATAGGACTTCGCCATGGCATTATAATCGCTGTTTAATTTTTGAATTTTGGATTTCTCCCTCACCAAATCATAATTTAATTTCCATGCCATTTTTTTGTAGTGTCTATTTTTGGTTTCCAGGAGATCGTTTTTTATTTGAATGCTCCTGGCATTATTGTTTGTACATTTATGGAAGCGCTCAATCCTTTCTCTCAAAATTTTATTTTCTCTTTCGAGTTCCTGGTTCTGTTCCTTGAACATATTTCGGCTGCTCTTTAAAATTTCAATTCTCGCCAGTAAAAAATCGTTTTCTAGCATTGCGGTCGGTTGAACTTCTGCGGAAAATAAATTTTTCTCTGCCATTATTGATTCTTTCAGACGTGAAGCTGCAAATGAATCTCTCAGAGGAATCTGAGAATATAGAGACAGTCACCAGTGATGTCACAGACAGGATGAGTGACATCACAGTTTCACATCAAAGCCACAAGAAGTCTTTTGCATGAGGGGGAGTTAAGGTGGGGGACGGGGGGAATGTTTTTTTTTTTAACTTCATTCGCAGATACAATGTGTGACGACAGAGTGAAACATTTATTATTCCCCAAGAAAAACCAAAAGAGATAAATACAGATAAACGGTATTCAAGAAAAATAAAAAGTCATCTGCGATAGCTTATTATTTTAAACGGGTTGGATATTCTGTTGAAGGAAGTGATGTTTTTGTCGTGTAAACTGTTCCAATGCTATAATAAGCATAACTTCCTGATAAAGCCCTTGGATTGAAACTGGATGTACTTTTTCTTTTTATTACAACTGTATTTTAATGAGTCTGCATTTTCTGTCCCATTGATCTTCTTGAAGGAACTCTATTGTTGGTGTGTCAAAACCGTCTTTTATCACAAAACCTGAGTGTTTTTCAAACTTGCTGCTTTTCCAAATAGCTAATTTATTATTTATACGGTCAATGGAAACGCATCTAGTTATTATTATTATAACTTATTCTTCCGTAAATAAAAGCCTGGACATTTTTATATCAAGACTTTGCTCTTTAGGCCATTATATAACTGACTGAACTAGTGTTACACGTGAGATTAGTGTTGCCACTTCAAATTAAGCTTACCGAAAATTTCAAAATAAAAGCCTTAAAATTTCACTCCACCTTTTGCAGCGCCACAAGCGTTGCAATGATATTAGCTTGAATTATCTTTTTCTGTCAGGTTAGGGCACTGTCTTGCGCAGCAAGACGGTGCATTAACATTAGCACAAACATTACCATTTCATTGTTCTCGACCAGTGCACTGCCAAAGGCAGTGCAATGAGATTATCCTGCCTTATCTTTTTCACTCAGGTTAGGGCTCTGTTTGCGGAACAAGGCAGAGCATTAGCATTAGCCTTTTATCTTAAATGAGGTATTAGCCATTTCCCTTACTTATTACCCATGGTTAGTATACTGAATGGAGTAAGTCAATTACAGACTTCATGCTAGAGATGCCCGACATGCTACTGAAAGCATGTAGGCTCACATTAGCATTTTGGCTAATTTTAGCTTATACATTACTTTTAACATACTGCATGGTGCAAGTCCATGTTAGTTTACGTGCTTGTAACATTCCACCTACTACTGTTTATACTGCAGCTTTCTTGAGCATTATGCTAATGTTTAGCATCAGAACACTGGGTCCAAACCGACGGGCACACTTTGGCAGGCCCCGGTTAAATTTCTTCAGGAATTTTCTAGTTAATGTATTTTTAATTTAGTATTATTTTAGCTAGCTACTGAAAACTAAAAACTATAGTTTAAATAATAGTTAAAATAGTGTCTCTGCCAAACAGTCATGGAGTCTAAATACCAGGCTCTTATTTTGTGTAGAGCCCAAATGAAGAGAAAAGGGAATATCTCCCAGTTCTTCTTAAAGAGGCAAAAACCAGGGCCAGACCAGGACCAGACAGAACCCTGCAGCAGTGACCAGGACCAGACAGAACCCTACAGCAGTGACCAGGACCAGACAGAACCCTGCAGCAGTGACCAGGACCAGACAGAACCCTGCAGCAGTGACCAGGACCAGACAGAACCCTGCAGCAGTGACCAGGACCAGACAGAACCCTACAGCAGTGACCAGGACCAGACAGAACCCTGCAGCAGTGACCAGGACCAGACAGAACCCTTCAGCAGTGACCAGGACCAGACAGAACCCTGCAGCAGTGACCAGGACCAGACAGAACCCTGCAGCAGTGACCAGGACCAGACAGAACCCTGCAGCAGTGACCAGGACCAGACAGAACCCTGCAGCAGTGACCAACCTGGAGAATCCAGCCAGGAGACTCCAGGCCCAAGTGTATCACCAGCGGGTTAGAGGCTGTGACAGAGTTATTAAGTATTAAAATCCAATAAGCCTAATTCTAAAGGTTAGCATGATGCTTTATGCATTTTTTATTGTGTCTGTTTATGCATTTCCAATTAAGTTCCAGAGAGAGATGAGGGTGATTCAGATTCAGAGTCAGACTCTGGGGAGGAAGACAGTGAAGCAGAAGGAAATGGCACTGAACTGCCCCCACCCAGCACAACCTATTGCACACCAGAAGCACCAGTTTATTTATTTATTTGTTTTTGGTCATATTCTGGGCTCTGAGTTTACATTTACATGTTCACTGTTCCATAGTGCCGTTTAACGTCTTGTTTGGTCATGGCAAATCTTAGTTAAATAAACCATTTTAATTTGAGTGTGTGTGAGAAAATATTTGTTTCCTTTCGTTCATCATTTGTATATGGACCCCTCTGATAAAGCCTTGCTCACCCTTTGGCCACCCCTTGAAAAAAAGTCTAGCTCCGCCACTGTTTTTAAGGGGAAAAGGGCACCTCATCTGGTGCTAAAACGTTTCACCCCATACAAACAACTTCTGATTTTCAAAAACCAAAACTGTTTCAATTATCCAGATATAATTGTGTGGGTGAAAAAAAAGTGTAATAGCTAGCAGTTAAACCACTAAAATCAGATCAGAGTTGTGCCTTTCCAAGTAAGTTAATAGCAAAAGTTGTGTTTAAAGTTATATATGTATATTTGGTATTTCCAAAATTCTAATTCCAAAACCTACACAATAAAGAACGATACAGAGTGTATTGCATTATTATTACCATAATGTGCTCTTACATTGGGGTCACATTGAGGAGGTCAAACATATGGAGCTCAGGATAGAACAGCCAAGACCTTTCATCAAGAACAATAATTATTTCTTTTCAAAATCATTTTAACTGGATATAATTACATGTTAACTTTCTTTTATCTGTGATGTTATTACTAGTGTATTATGATTTGCTTTGTTTACAGCAGCAATTATAAGTTAGTACAGTATGATATTAGTTTATTGCATTTATGTATACTGCATAATAATAAAAAATCAGACTCTTAATTTTAACAGATGCTTTTGATCCCTGAATAAGAATAAGATAATCAAATTCCTCCTGCAACATTAATGAGATTCCAATCGTTAAAACTTGTGAAAGTTCTAAACATGGCCTCCAGAGATCAGACCTTAGAGTTATGTGTTAATTAGAGTAATAATATTAAAGTAATAACTTCTTTGTCTTTTCTGCATCTGCAGTGATTGTGGCTGAAGGTAGAACACCTGGGACCTGACACAAAACGAGGTGAAATTTTTTTTTTACTACTTCAATTGATGGGAGTGATTGTTTCTGTGTGTATTTAGTACAATTCAGTATTTGCAGTTCAGTAATAAAAATGGAAGCAGAATAGTTGAAAGACTCAACAAAAATATATAAAAAAGGGAGAAAAAAACAAAAAATGGAAAGAATGCACATTACTTCATCATAGTGTTAATAATAATAATAATAATAATAATAATAAAAACATTAAGGAGAGTTAAGAATTTTAGTCATAAATTGAAGTATTCAGACTATTGAGTAGTTGGTTGCATGTCATGATGTTTAATTGTTCAGATTGAATGTCAACTATTATCTTAAACCCATAAATCTACAGCTCAGTTTGGCCTCAAAATCAAACATTTTTCCCACACCAAATAAATAAATACAATAATATTAACAAATGGTGCAATTTATTTTAGTGTACAAAACAGCTTTTTCAGCCAGTCTCACTTAAAAAGTCATCTGTTCACATTTGACTAAGTAAAATATAAATTATTAATGTCCTAATTAATAAATCAGGGCAGAACGTTACCCCGAGGGAATGTTTTAATCAACCAAATGAGGTTTTACCATTCTGTGCTCCATTGCTTTTGCTGTTTAACTAACCAAATGATTAGCACGAGCAATGTTAAAAACTTAAACTTATTCAATTAAAACCCAAATATTAAACTTATTTCAAGTCTTCAGCATTATGTGTTTTATGAGAATTTCCCAGTGGTTCTGCACTTGAGCTGTTATGAAGTATGAAACGTCCTGGTCAGAAAGAACTTTATTGTTCTTCTTATAACTTGGAGTAAAAGAAAAAGCATCTTTCAATCAAGGAAACAAAACTGGTTCAGATTAAAGAAAAAGTAAAGAATTAACGGCTTCAGTAGCTCATTTAGTGGTCTTGTCTAATACAGAAATACCACTGAACATAAAAGCTCTGAATTAGTTTTAAAATCCCAATGATAAAAAAAGTACACAGTTAATTGCAGCTTTACCTCAACAGCTCCTTCAACTGCTGTATCCGGGAATGTATCTGTTCTTATATGCATTGACCTTTAAAAGAGCCATTAAAGGTAATGAGAAATGTGTCAAACTTTATCACATTTTTGTTTCACAGCATTGTCATTATTGATGCAATTATTATTAGACTAATGATCCCAGTTTCATGAAAGAGTGTAGAAAACAAGGACCAGTAATTTTCCATGTAATTATTAGAAAATATGGGAAATGTACATATTTTTACATTCTCAAACCTCCAAACCTTAGTTTTTGCCAGTTTTCATTGTGCAATGGCACTTTTTCAAATCTTGGGACTGATGAAAAGCAATATGCCTATGAATGTGTTCATTTGGTTTTGAACACATTCATAATAAAAACATTCATTCAAAATAAAACATTCACAATAAAGCATTATTATTCTAATGTCTTGCATTATATTATGGGGATACTTGAAACTGCTTCTGCAACATTACCTATGAATATTTCTACATATTAACATACAAATTAGTAAGGAAATATTTTTTTTAGTATTTCCCAAGATTCTTTTATGAGCGGTATGGTGTAAAGATGCGACCTGAAAAACATGAGGAACACATACGAAGGTATTTCGGCACAAAAAGATGACTTACTATTAATTAAAAACCGGGGCACAGATTATGGATGATTCGGAGGATGAAGCATCTCTCTGCTTTTACTTCAGCGTGCGGTAGGTCATGTGTTTTTAGTAAGGAAACAAAAATCTGCCCCAGGTCACCCTCATCACCCAGGGCAAGAGTCCATACGAGAGATCCACAAATGACAGGCGATGATCTGGATTTTATTACATTACAATCTTCCTATTTCTTTACAAAGAGATCAGCCAGGAGAGAGGAGACGGGTCAGCAATGAAAATGTGACTCATAAATTATGTTGTCTAAATTAGCAGGTTAGCTAAGCCCCTGATCTACATGTATGTGCAAACAAAACAGACTTAGGATATAAGTGGTATGAATTTAGTATTCTGGAACAAAACACTGTTTTTGTTTGTTTGTTTGTTTGTTTTTTTCCCATGAGTGGACTTTCTCGCCTGTACACACAGTAGAACATACACAGGAGGAGGTATAAATGTAGTGTGTCATTGTCACAGTTTCCCTACTAACAACTACTTTTTGCGGTCAAAAGTTTACCATTACAGACAACACAATACCATAATTATTCTGTTGAGAGCTACTCAGAAATATACAATAAGCCTGTTCTCCCTGATATTATAAAGAAAATATGAATAGGGTCATTCAGGCAGTACTATGATAAAGACAGCAGTGGCTGTAATTAGTTTTTTGTTGTTGCATTAAATGCTTGTCTTCAAAGTAGGAGTCAGTTTTGCTACCATTTACTACAGAGCGTGACAAAGCTGTCCATAGAAGGAATGGCCTCGGGAGCATATGGTCACACTTGTGCTTCATTAGGAGGTTCATTCTCTCTTAATGTGCCAATTAAGGTCTGCCCACAGCTGCACAGTCGCAGCTCAGCACTAGTACAGGCTACCCTGAGCTCCGGCCACACTGTTCTGTCTCGAAGGTGGTGCAAATGAGTCAGCCATGGGTGTGAGGGCACACCTTGCAGCAGCAAAGAGGCCAAGGCAAAGACATAAAAACAAACAAAAAAGGTCAAGAGGAACCAAGACAACCTTCTCTTTCTCACTCTGTGTTCAGAGACACCTATCCATCCCTTACTTTCACAAGTTTCTCTTCTGATTACATTCTCAGCGAACTCTCCTCCTACATTCAAGTCTAAGATGTCTCACTTGTGAAACACTTTTCTCTGCATGGCCATGGTGCAGCAATGCACCTTGTTCTCTCTGCAGAAACAATTCCTGTTCTCACCCCCTTCAGACTCTGAACCATCTTCGCAATAATTGCTGCAGCCACACATTGACTTTTTTTTTTTTAGCCAAGCGCACTGGTTAGTTAGCTATGTGCATGGCAATTTGGAACTAACCCTGAAGACTGATTAATGCAACTACAGAACCTGGAAAAAGTATCAAATGATTTGATTGTTTTACATTTTGCCAAGTAGCAACTAAAAATTTGGGGATTTTATCCTAGAGACCCACAAAAAGCCGTGCACAATTGTGAGGTGGAAGAAAAGCTACACGTTGAAGGGTACAACACACATACCAAAACTGACCTTATCTAAAAGAACTGCTTTTCCCCAAGGCACTTTAAAAATCCTTACCTAACCTTAGAGATTTAGCTACAACATTAACTTGCTTCAGGTGATAACATCCTGAGCCTTCAAGATGCGAATGTTTTGTGACTCTGAAGTGTTGTGTTTAAAAGCTCTCGGCTGACTATCAGTGAGATATCGGAGGATATAGATGGATGGCAAATATAAGCCAAATGTGTCATGTCTGTGTAGCCAGGACACACAATGTATTCTCTCATATGTGAAAGCACAGCTGTTCTGTGAATTACTGGGCTTGTTGTTGGTGAATTTTAGTGAACAAACGTACTTGAGGCACAGAACAACTCCGGGGGAAACAAAGTCTCTAAATTCCATCAGTATTTCATTCCAAATATTTTAAATCAAATGTTAATCTCATTCAAAAGCAGGCAAGTACAATTCATTGCATGCACTGGCAAGCACTATTGCCAGCTTAGTATTTAGTCCTGCGAGTCACAGGATGGAAGTAGTCGTGGACTGATTTAGAGGTGCTGATGTAGACTGATGTGTTTTCAGCGTTGCACCGAAATGAGTGAGCACAGCAAATGTAGGAACTGATGGTGACTGAGCCCGAAAAGCAAAGAAGCACACTGCATCATTTACTTTTCTCCTCGCTCCGTTCCCTAAGAGTTAACAGTGGGGCTGCTAGCTGACCGCTTGGCTAATGATGATAGATTGTGTTAATTAAAAGGTTTTAGCACAGCGCTGATTGCACCTGCAGCTCTGGCACTCATTTTTGCTGAAGAAGAGGAAATTTAGTTTTTAAATCAGGGAAAAAGAATCTCTAACCTATGCAGAAATTTATTTTGGATGCTCCTCCTGGCAGCAGTGCTGGAAAGAGCAACACCTGGATGTCATTAGCTGTCAGATATGGGATGATATAAATGAATGGTTGGAGGGGTGAATGCACCTCGTATTAATCACTTTAGTGTTTTTGAGAAAATAATTTTTTACTGTTTTCCCCAAAGGTTTGGTTCCAAAGATGGAGGACAAATTGACATTTTGTTATAGTATACTGTAAATGCGCATGTTTGCATTCTTCAAATATAGCTCTAAAAATGTTACTCCAGATAAAGATAAACCAGAAAATGCATCAGAAAGCTTTTTTTGTGAAATTTCTACCATTATTTATATATATTTTTTAATATAATTATTTATATTTTCCTTTCTTGATTGCCCACCTTTTCAAAACTGGTCTATGATCAGCATCTGCAAAACAACATTCTTATTCTCTATTCTTGCATGATTCTATAATTTCACAATTATTTTATAACCCAGTCCTTATTTTCATTATTTCTGATTCAAATTTGTGGCCGACCTCTAGTAAAGATGCACAGCAAAATTCTTATTAGCAAGAAGTTTTTATTAGTAAGCCGTAACATTTTGCTTCCCTGTGGCATAAATATGACATGACAGAGAGGTTATTGTTTTTAACCACTGGCCTCTGGCTGGCTGAGGGCTTATATTTGTCTCTGTAGTCCGACACATAGCAAGAGGACAGTAGGGGAGAAATAAAAATACACAAGGCTCATTGTTGGAAATTTGCAGCCAGGAGTGGCTCCTTAGGGTCACAAAGTCGCCATAACAGCCATTACATGTTAATTATATTCAAAAATAAATGCCAGAAAAAATAAAAAAAAGAATTACAGTAGAGTTAGATAAACTTGAACTAAAATTCTAATTTGGTTAGATAAGTCTAAGATTGATCTATTTGGAAACAAAAAACGTGAGTTTAAAATAAAAAAAAAAACATAAATATGTTGGAAAAACACTGCTCTTTATTCTGTAGGTCTGTA